CCTGCCCTGATCCCCTGTGCGGCCTTGCACAGCAGTAGCAGCAGTGTGCCAAGTGCTTGGTGGGCTAGTCTTCCCATCTGTGAAATGGGAGGCGACAGGGGACTGGTCACTTACGGCACTTTCAGCTCTCATAGGGTCTCTGGCAACTTTGCGCTTCCTCTTTTTGGGTAATTTCTTCATACTTCCTGGGGCCAGAGTTTTGTGAACAAAGAGGAAATGGCAATACAGGGGTCCCCTCTAGTCTCCACAAAATGCGCCCATCCCAGCAACATGGAAAACCTCTCAAGGCACCCCCAGGCAGCCAGGACTGGGCAGAATTGATAACAGCTTCCTTCACTCCTTCATTCACTCACAGACACGTAGTGAGCACCTTCTGCTGCCTGGGTGTGGGCAGAGGTGAATCGGAGTGCCAGCGTGGACCTCAGGGCTGTGGTCAGGGCTGTCCGGGGCCCCTGGTGGCGGGGTGGGCAGTCCTTCCCCAAATCCCCCCTGGACCTGGGCTTTGATGCTGCGTGTTCTGCCTCCAGTGGATCTCTGGATTCTGGAGAGTGGGGACACCTGGGCTCTGTCCTCCTTCTACCTGCTCTGTGACTTTGGGCAAATGCCTTTGCTTGGCTGGGGCCTGTTTCCTCCAAAGGGGGCGCAGTTGGGGGTTCTACCAGGGGTGGGAGGACAGGCGGCTGTAGGGGTCTATGGTTCTTTCCTTTCACGAAGGCGAGGAGGGTAGGCAGATGGGGGAGTTGGGACTAGGGAGGCTCCTGTGTGACCCCTTGGCCCCAGGTGGCTGTTGCCATGGGGAAGAGGGTCCAGAGTTCCCACATCTTTAGATATTTCAAGAGAAGTAAGACATATGTAATTATGTTATATGTTAAAGCTCTTGATTATTTAACATGGGAACCTAATGCAAAATCACCTGAAAACACTTTGCGGCTGAACACACCTCTGTGGCCCGCTCTCCCCTCCTGCTGCGGTTCGACTTTCGGGTGGTGGAGTGTACACCCCCGGGTGCTGGGCCCCAGCAGCCCTGTCAAGCAAACACCCCATAGTGTGGAAAAGGTAACAGGCTCTGTGAGAGGAGAAAAGTGGGAACCAGGGCCTCTGAGGTGGGCATGGCAGAATGGGCAGGGGAGGCTGTAGCCAGAGACTCCCAAATCCCACCAAAGGGACCTGGGGGCCAACACTGGACCCTGTTTGACAGGCAGACAAGAGGCCAGCGGAGGGCAAGGCTGGGAGCCCGCTCAAGGGCCGACTGGTGACCTCATGGCGGATGCCCGGGGACCGGCCCACGCTGTTCAATCCGTTCCTGCTGTCCCTGGGGGTCCTCAGGTGGCCAAGGGTAGGCTGGCTCCAGTGGGGTGGGAGGGGTGAGGGTGGGGCAAAGGGGAGGAGAGGGAGGAGGTTGGTGTTAGTCAAAGAGAGAGTGGAGGCTGAGGGGGAGGGATTTGGGGCCCCCACGTGAGAAAGGAGATCAAAGCAGAGTCCTGAGCTGCCCAGGGTCTCTGCCAGGGAGTGGGGTTGCCCGCTTCCAGCCAGAGGGCGGACTGAATAATCTCCGCAGCTGAAAGCTCCCAGTCCGCAACCCGCCCAAGGAGAGCCAGGTTGAGGGGGAGGGGAGAGGAAGGAGGGCCCTGCGAGGGGCTCTGGGATTGCAAAGTGTGTCTCAGTCCTGGGCCTGAGGCAGTTGCACAAACATCTGGCATTACGTAACCCATCCCCTGCCCAGAGAGGGCTGTAAACACTCAGGCCTCTGGTTCGGGGTTCCTCAAGGGCAGGGAGGGGAGGCAGCTGTGACTAGCCCCCTCCTGCCCCCTTCACAGCCAGAGAGAAGGGGGCTTCTCTCAGTGACAGGCTGATTCTCTTCCTCTTGCCGGCTCTGGGTCCAGCAGGCGGGGCACGTTCGAGACAGTACACCCATTTCACAAATTGCGGGACTGTCTCGGAGGTGAGTGGACTTGCCTGAGGTCAAAAAGCTGGGGTTTCGATGAGCCAGCTTCTCGGTGATTTTCCTCATTCCTAGATGAGCCGAGAGCTGCAGCTGGACTCACTGAACCTCAGTTGCCACATCTGTCTAATGGGGGGAAAATCTATGGAGACACTCAGAGCTACAGGGAGGGCTCAGGGAGATCAGGATACACAGAGGTGTGATAGGGGGCAGGCGTGGCCAAATACTAACTTTCCCAGCCACTTCCTAATTTCCTCTCTGCTGCCATTGGGGAATTAAGGTAAGAGAGTATCGAGAAAAACATGGCTATCTGGGCAGGGTGGTATCTTCAAGCCAGGGACAGGAATTACCTTTATCAGACTACCTTATCAACACAAAGCGGATCTGGCAGCAAGGGGCAGGTTAAGTCCCCAGTGGAGAGAAATTAGGGAAAGACTCTGGGATAATGATGTCGCTGATGATAACCAGCATTTATTGTGCACCTACTACGTGCTCAGTGCATGGCGTGCCTGATTGCTTTAATCCTTACCACCAGGCATACCAGGTACGGTTCATATTGTCCATGTTACAGACAAGGAAATAAAGCTCAGAGAGGAAAAAAGTCACTGTGGTAGGTCACAGAGTGGAGATTTAAACCCTGCTCTGGTTGACTTCATGGCCCGCCCCCCACCTCTGTGAATCTGGATCTCCCTGACTTCTGGCAGGCCCAAGACTCGCCACAGATTTTCCCCATTAGACAGATGTAGCAACTGAGGCTTGGTGAGTTTGCAACGGTTCTCTCATCTGGGAATGAGGAGAATCAGGAGCTGAGGGATGGAACTGCCAGTGGAGGCTCCCAGACAGTTACTTAGAGCAGCTTCAACAATCTCTTGAGCTGGACATTGAAATTAGTCCGAGGTCAAGAGCCAGGAAGCCTGGGCTTGAGTTCTGTCTCTGCACTAACTTGTGTGGCTTTGGGCCATTGTCTCCCTTCTCTGAGCCTCACATTGTTATCCTCGACAGAGTAACAGTTTAAGACTGAATGACCCCAAAGTTTGGTGGCCCTGTTTAATAACTCACTCTTGGGTCCCTGTGCCATCTCTCTCCTGCCAGGGCAAGTTGTGGTAAGGTAGTCATTCCTTCATTTGTGCACTCATTCATTTGACTGATGTTTGTTAAGGACCTACTGTGGGCTGAGGCTCTGAGACATAAAAACACACCATCCCTGACCACAAGCAGCTCACAGTTTGGTGAGAACACTGACATGTAACTGGTTAGAACACAATGTGGCTATCACGTTATTGGAGGAATGTACAGATGCAGGGAGCGCTGGGCAGGAGATTGATGCAGGGAGCATCAGGCAAGGAGATTGTAACTGAAGAGTGAGGAGGAATTTTCCATTTGGAGGGGGGGAGGAGAGACAGGGAGCGTGTGTGTGTGTGTGTGTGGGGGGGGGGGGGGGGGAGGCAACAGGAAGGAAAGTGATCCAGACCGAGCACAGAACAACATGTGCAATCCCATCCAAGGTACAAAGGACCTGGCTCATTCCAGGAATTCTCAGTAGTCCGGTGTGTACCCTAGCATGTAAAATGTGTGTATGATGGCAGAGAACAGCAGGCAGGATCCAGATTATGATGGACGCAGACTGCTTGGAACAAGAATGTAGAGTTGATCTATTAGCATGGGGGAAGTGTTGAAGAACTTTGAGCAGGGGAGTGGTCTGATCACTGGGTTGAGGGTACTAGAAGTGGAGTCCCAGAAGCCAGGAAACCTGTAAGGACACTGTCAGGTATCCAGGCCACTGGGCAAGGCACTGGTGGTAGGTAAGGTCTTCTGTTTCTTCACTCACTCTCCCAAGGACGAAATGCTTGAGTGAGGTACAGGGGTAGGGTAGGAAGACTCAGCATCAGGATGCCAAAAGGCCAGTGTCTAGAGGAGAGACTCACAGTGGGAAATACTGAGAAAGAACTTCAGCTCCCTGGGCCTCCATTTCTTTATCTGTGAAATGGGGATAGTAATTATAATTACGATAATTTTTGACCCCAATCTGAGATGGCAGAATAATTGAAATGGCAATTATTCCAAGCTCCCCTGTCCTTCTACCCCAAAGGATAGTTAATTAGGGATAAAGGGAATGTTCTGGGTACTTAACACTTAATCCTTATAGCAACCCCATGAGACAACAGCATTATCCCATTTAACGGTGAAACTGAGGCACAGAGAGATAAAGTACCTTGTTTAAGGGAACAGTGTTGGAATCACAATGCCACACAAGTTACTACATGCATTTAGCAACAAATTCCACCAAAGGTCCCTCCTCTACTTCAGGGCTCAGATGAGTTCCTGCCAGCAAAAGTCCTCTTAAAAACTGCCCAGTGCTTTGGGAATGTGAGAAACGGGTGTACACTCACACCCAAGAACCCAAAACCAGGTTCTTAAGCCAAGAAAGACCCGCTTACAGGAGGGGGCATTTAGGAAAGACCCACTTTGTAAGAAGACTATAGGCTAGGAGTGCTGTCTCTTCTTGCTGTGTGACCTTGAGCAAGTCGGCTCTCCTCTCTGAGCCTCTGTTTTCTCATTAGTAAAATGGGGACAAGGGCACCTTCCTGTCAAGTCTGTAGTGAGGACGAAAATCGATTACATTGGCAGGTAACAAGCGGGGCTCCAGGAGCGGGACCCGCTGAATTGTTAGTATTGGGTGCTTTGCCAACGTCCCCATCAAACTCGGGCGTCTGGCGGCGCGCGGCTGCAGTGGGGAGCCGTAGCCGGGGCGACGTGGGGACCACACCCGACACTCCTGCGCCGTAGCCGAACGAAATCACCTGCATGCTGGACTGTTCCTTCCGCACCGCGCACCCGCCGCCGAAGCGCGGCCCGCCCTCCCTTCTCCCCGCCCCCATCCGCCCGCCCGACCCGCCCTCGCGCGCCCGTCCCGTCGCGGCAGGCCCCGCCCCCGGATTCGGCCCGCGCTCCCATTGGTCGGTCTGTAGCCCCCGCCACTGTTTGTCCCGGCTTCCCCAGCGCCCATTGGCCCGCCCGGGTCCTCCCAGGAAGTTTGAAAAAAAAAAAAAAAAGTTTTATGGGCGGATGGAAGGGGCCGGAGCAACGCCGGGGAAGGGAAGGGCCGGAGGAGCGGCGGCGGGCGGCCGAGAGGGGCGGCGGCAGCGGGATTCCCGCGCCGCTGAGCCCGGCCCGAGAGCCCTTTACACCCTCCTGTCTCCTGCTCCCGCCGTCCCGGGGCGCCGCCATGACGGTGAGTGCCCCCTGGGGCAGCCCCTCCGCGCCCAGGCCAGGGTGAGGGCGCCTGCCCGAGCCCAGCCGCTCCCCTCCGGGGCAGCCCCCTCTCACTTCCTGGAGGCTAGAAGAGGTCTCCGCCGGAAGGCAGGGCGACCCCAGCGGCAGGGCCGGCCGTCCTGCCTCACCTTTCCCCAGGCGCCTCCTCACCTTCCCAGGCCAGGAGCCCCGGCGAACCCGAGCATATGTGAATGTCCCGTCACGGGCGCCTCCCCTTCTCACTTTTGGGGAACAGTTGCCGACCGATTCGGGGTGGACCTTTCTCACCTTTGTCCAGCTCCCTTAGTGACCACCTGACCTGATTCCCCCAAGCTGCGAGATCCGTAGGGGCTCCCCGGGGCTCTCCGTGGGAGGAGCGGGGCTGGGCTTGGCCTGGGTCTGGGGTCTCCCCGGCTGGAGGGAGGAGCCTCCTGGCTCGGACGGGTATTGTTGACCCGGGCCTGGGAAGACTGCCCACTGTGTGGGGGCTGGCGGGGGGTTGGGTGGGTGAGAAGGGGTCGCCGCGCCCCACCCTGCCTGGGAGCCCCTCCTGGCATTTCTGCTGCGGCCGATACCACGTTCTCTGGGGCTTTGCTGCGAGTGGGGGGTGGAGGACACGACGGCCGGGGTTTCTCTTTCTGTTGGGGGTGAGCCCTACCCTAGTTCCGTCAGTACCTGTGCCTTATCGTATTGGCCTCCTAGCTGAGTTCACCTTTATCCCCCTTTCACAGTCCGATAAACTGAGGCTTGGGGGAGAGGCTGGGCTGAGTTGCCCGAGGTTTCCCCGAGTGTAAGGGAAGGAGTAGCCCCTTTCCAGGTCAGTTTGGCCCCGTGGTCTGGAAGGGCAGGGCAGGGCTGCTTTTGGTTTCTGACTAGTGCCTTAGCGAGGCTCTGAGAGCTGGTGAGGAGAGGGGTGTTAATCAGGGTGTGTATGTGCTATGCCTGCCCCCTTTCCACAGGCCAGTGAAGTGGGCTGGGCTGCTGGGGAGCAGGGTGGTGGTTGGGGAGAGGGGCCCCTACCCCTTTGAGTGTGATGACCTGGCCACTGCCTGGACTTCCTCAGCCTCCGCACATCCTGCCACCTCCCTGCTGGCCCTTCCTGTCGTCAGCAGCCTCCCCTGCCCTGTCAGAGAGCAAAGAGGGATGTGGGGGAGGAGCTAAGTCAGTGTCTACCCTGGCCACCCAGGCCAGGGGGAGGGTGGTCACTTTGCCCACTGGTTGTCTGCCCATCCCTGAACTGAGTGCCTTCACATGACCAGAATTGATCCTCTAAGGTTGACGGCAACTCCCCATCTAACAGATGACACTGAGGTGTAGAGAGGACACAGCCAGGCTCTGACTGAGGCAGTATTGGTATCCAAGGACTATCCCAGTTTTCTCTATGGGGCGAGATAAGAAATGTACGCAATGCCTCTCCTGGAGAGGTGCAAGCTCAGCAAGGGCAAGGCTGTTGGAAGCAGCAAGTGGGGTGCTGGGAGGAGGGACAGCATATCTCTGCTGCTGGGAGAAGTACTCCAATAAGTGTAGGACTTGGTCAGGTGGAGATGGACTGGGGAGGGGACATTGTAGACAAAAGCTGGTGGTCACATCTGGGCAATGACGAAAACATGGAAAAGGGGTCTGGGAGAAAAGGGGCCCAAAGGCCAGGAAAAGTAGCTTAGGCTCTGGTCAGGGTTACTGGGGAACCATGAAAGGTTTTGAAGCAGGGAAGACGCTGGTGATCACCACTGACAGTGTTGACTGGTTTCATCCTAGCTGCCTGCAGACCTGAGCCTGCTTCAGGCTGGTGTCCTTCCTGTATCTTCCTCACATCCTTTCCCTCTCTCCTGGTCCTGTCTCCCTGACCTCAGGGATCTGTAGGTCGGTGGCAAAGGTGCTATGAATGAGTAAATGCTCAGAGGCTTGGAAGCTGGGCCTGGAGTCACGATTTGCCCCACCTCCTTTTGCCTGAGCCGGGTGCAGCCTTGCCCTGGAGCCTCATTCCCCAGCCACTGCCTGGCATCAAATTATATACCTGTTCACTTGTTTATTATTTGTCTCCTGACTTCCACCAGGGCTGGGGCCACATCTGTCATTCACAGCTCACTTTCTGGTCTAGAACAGTGTGTAATACTTTAAAAAAAGAAAGAAAGAACAAAAAAAGATTCCACAACATTCCCTGGGTCGTGGGGTGGTGAATGGTGCATGTCCCTATCTGTGAGTTGCTTCTAGTTGAGCCTGTGAGGAACAAGTAATGTTTTCATGATAATCATGGATGCAACAGAGGCCTTTCCGAGGGACCGTGGAAGGACAGCTGGGGTAGTGTGCGGTGTGTCCTGGGACACGGGCCTCAGAGGACGCGGTTAAGCTGGGTCTTAAAGCATGAAAGGGGTTTGCCTGGTGTTCCAGCAGAGGACACAGGCATGTGTGGAGGGCCTGAAGTCTTGATGTGTTGGGGATCAATGAGGATGTGTGGACACATAAACACAAGGCCCCCAAAGCAGGGGGGAGGCTAGGCTAGGAGGGCGGGGCCGAGGTTCTTGTGCCATCCTAAGGCACCTGGATTTTTTTTTATTGTTTGTTTTCCACTTTTAAGTCACTTTTATTTTTCAATTACGGTTGCTGCACATTGTTATATTAGTTTCAGGTGCACTAGATTTTGTTTTGAAGCCACCGGAGCCACCCCTGGAGGTTTTAAGCAGACTTGTAACACTAGGCCTTTTTGAGTGGGTCCCTCTGCCAGAGTGTGCGTAGAGGAGGCCACGTCGAAAGTGCAGGTGGGCCGAGTAGTGCAGACCTGTAGCCAGAGGGAGGGAGGTGGGCTGTGCGAGCCTGCGGGTGCTCCTTAAGGGAGAGAGAAAAGGAGCTTCCTGCAGTGGAGGAAGGTGGCGGCCCAAGAGCCATGTGTGGTGCGGTGTGAGAGTTGGGTTATCAGACCTTTTGACCCTGGGGTGGGGAGGGTGTTCCCAACTAACATAGGACCTCCCCTGCCAGCAGTTTAAAAACTCACATTGGCAGCCTCCTCTCCCCAAGGTCACTGTGCCATCCTATGCCTGACGTGGTGTGGGATGTGTTACTACTGGCTTCCAGAGGGTCACTGGGCTTTTCCATGGGTGGCACATTCAGTCCTCTTGAAACTTGAGGGAGGGTGGGACCCCCTGTCATTTACCACATTAGGCAGCTGGGCTCAGGGAGGGGATGTGATTTAGGAAGGTCACTGTGACCCCACCTCCCAGGTAGCTCTTGGGGTCCCAGCCTGTCATTCCTGCTGGGGAGCCCTTCCTCAGCTTCTGGCAGTTGATGGCTGATACCCTGTGGGCCATCCCAGAAAGCCCAGCTCCTCAGGGCCAGGGGGTGGGAATGGGGTCTGTCTTCAAAGCATAGAGGTTTAGCCCTGGCCAGTTTGGCTCAGCGGTTAGAGCGTCGGCCTGCGGTCCGCAGAGACCCGGGTTCAGTTCCCGCTAAGGGCACGTACTTCGGTTGCAGTTTGTCCCCGGCCCTGGTTGGTCGTGAGGGTGGCAGCCACTCGATGTGTCCCTTCACATCGATGTTTCTCTCTCTCTCTCCCTCCCACTCTATCTGTACAAAAAATGGAAAAATGTCCTCGGGTGAGGATAAAAAAAAAAAAAAAAGCATAGAGGTTTAGACAGGTTAGAGGAGGGTGAATTTTTATTCAGCAGATTTTCCTGGCTTCTGGCCATAGCATGCCTAGTCCTGGGGCCATGGGAGGTCCCAGACTGAATGCAGGTGAACCCAAGTGACTCAGTGGCCTTGAATGGGGCTACCAGTCTTCATTTGGTCTTAGCTTGGGACTCCTTCACGTTTGGGGAACAGGGCGGAGAGAAATGGAGAGCAGATAGGGTGAACACCACCCAGAATTTCTCAGGTCTGAGCAGAGCCTGTGTCCCTTCCCTCAAGACAGGTATGCAGGGAGGTGCTGCAGTGCAGGGGTGGGGTTCCAGCCTGCTGAGATCCAAGGGCCCTTGTCCCTCATCTATGGCTGTGGATGGCTCTGAATGTCCAGGCTGCTGGGCCAGGCTCCTCTCAGGCCACTTCTTCCAGCTGAGGAAGAGGAGAATGGGGCTCCCCAGGAGGAAGGCAGGTCAAGGGAGGTGGCCAGGTCAGGTGGCTCTGGTTTCCAGGTTTCCAGCTGCCGTGCTCGCCGCCCACCCCACTGAGCCATGCCACCCGCTCCCTGCGAGCAACCAGACACCTTGGCCTGGTGAGGCTGTGATGTGGACGCTGATAGGTGGGCTCAGAGCCATGGCAACAGGTGGACGCCTCTTCCCTGCCCGCCAGCCTGGCCCGCCCTGCTCTCCTCCCAGTGGGCAGTAGCTGAGACTCTGCAGAGGAACTGGGACTTAGACAAGAGAAGTCTCCCCAGCAGGCAGGGAGGGTCTGGTATTTGGTACCTACCAGATTGACCTGGCCACAGAAAATGCCAAAATGAGCAGCTTCTTTATATAGGCCTAGGTGGGGTGCATGGCTCACAAGCCCCTGTGGAACATGCTGCAGCTGGGAGCCCCCAGGCCCCGGGGCCGTGTCCCCCTGGGCAGTACCCGGCAGGTAGGCCTTGCCAGGACCAGCCCGTCCAGAAATCTAGAGGGGTCCAGAGGATCTCTGACCTCAGCCTAAGCTTGGTTCCATCTTCCGGGGTCTCCAGGAGACGAGGGAAGGGCAGGGCTGGTTGGACCACAGGAGGGTCAGTGGATTGGGGGTGGGTGGCAGCAGTAAAGCATTTTCCTGGTGGGCCACCTGGGCCTGGGATGGTTCACTCCCCCTGCTGGCCCGGCTTGTTCTCTGAGCTCTGTCTACAGGCAGCGTTCTCTTGGCCCCCCTCTCCCACTCTTCGGTGAGGAAGTAGGCTGGTGGGAGGGGAGCTCGAACATCTTTGGTGGATGCCCCAGGCTCCTGTCCGCCCACTTGGCAATCAGAGACTTCTGGATGCTGGGGAAAGGGGCCAAGGCTGCATCAGGGGCTAGGGAGCCTGCCTGGATTTGGGGTGTTACCTGGGCCCTCAGCCCTCTCTCCTGGCTTCCCAGGCCCTTAGTCTTACAGGACTCAAGGCCAGGATGGATACAGCACCCCCTCCTCCCCACTGGGTTCTCCACTGGCCTGACTCATCTGCCTCCTCATCTCCCCATAGCCCGATCTGCTCAACTTCAAGAAGGGATGGATGTCGATCTTGGACGAACCTGGAGAGGTAGGAGGGCTGAAGCGGAGAGGAGGGGGTGGCTTGCTGCAGGGGCCCGTAGGATCCTTGGGAGCAGTCCAGGAGGCTTCCCTCACCTGTCCAGCCTTCTAGGGATCCTGGCCTGCAGGTGGAGGGGGTCCAGGGTGGGGACCAGAAATGGGAACTCTGAGGGCATGGTGTTTCTTATCCAGCTTTGGGCTATGGGGGAGGGAGGGCAGAAGCTACTGCAGTGTGTTAAGAGTCATCAGGGAGGGGTGCCTCTTGGCCCCTCAGGCTCTGTACCCCATCCCCTCCTCTCTCCAAGAACCCCTTAGTCCTCTTGATAACCCTGCTGGGTATCCAAGGGACCGAGGTGGGAGAGCTCACAGAGATCATCTGGCCTGAGACACGCACAGATTTCCAACAACTCAGTCATGCAACAGCCCCCCTCCCCGGGGGTGAGGCTCAGAGCACATTTCTTGAAGTCTCACCAACCTGGGGCCCCACTGATCAAATCACAGCTTTTACTGGTCTCAGTGGCCACATGAAATGGGCATAATGGATAATGATTCCTTCCAGTGTGGATAACAGTCATGGATGTCAAGTATGTAAAAGGTCTCACGTAGCCCCCAGTGTCTGCTAGGGCCTCGGTAATAACCCTTCCCTTTCTCTGATGTGTCTATCCTTAGAACCAGAAGGGACAGTGGCCTCGTACCAGGCTGCCCTTACGGCTGCCAGGCTGGAACTGGCTTTCTGCCCACCACCTTGGGAGGGGACATCTCCCCGCCCCTGTCCTGCATGCGCTCGTGGTTTTGGTCTGTGTGCAGCCCGCATGCCGGGAGGGCTTGGAGCCAAAGGGAATTGCATTGTGTTTCCTACCCACATACTTGATTCCCTCCAGCCCACAGCCTTCTGTACCCGCTGCCTGCTGGCCGGTCCTCTGGTGGCTGCACTCCAGCCTCACACAAGGCCTGGCACCTTGCCAGTGACCCGTCCTGGCCTCCCCACCCAGGGTCTCTGGAGGGCAGAGATTATGGGCCCCACCCAGAACTGGCCGTTACTCATTCTCTTTCACGAGGTTTTGGAATGTCCAAGTTAGAAGGGCCCTGGGAGTTCAGCCAGCTCAGCCCCTTGACAGGAGATAGGCCCACAAGGGCTTCGATCTCTTCCAGGCCTAGTAGTACCTTGGGCAGACCCAGGCCTGGAACGTGGGGCACCAGAAGCTCACAGGGCTCCATCTAGCCCCCATCTCAGATGGTTATCGACTAGGCCTGGAAGGGCCAAAGACATCATTTGGCACAGAACCGCTGCCCCACTTTACAGAGTGACAGTTGAGGTCCTGAGCTGCAACTCAGTAAGAGCAGGACGGCTGTAAGAGGGCCAGCTTTAGAGCAGTTCCCAACACAGTAGTGCCCGACCCTATGCCAGGTGCCCTGAGAGGCATAAGGGGAGGGTTAGGAACTTCTAACCCTACAAGAAAGCTTAAAAACTTCTTTTTTTTAAATTTGTTTTTTCTTTATTGATTTTTGGAGAGAGAGGAAGGGAGAGGGAGAGATAGAAACATTGATGAGAGAGAACATCGATTGGCCGCCTCCTGCATGCCCTCCACTGGGGATTTGGCCCACAACCTGGGCATGTGTCCTGACCAGGAATCGAACCAGCGATCCCTTAGTGCGTGGGTCAATGCTCAACCACTGAGCCACATTGGCCGGGCTAGGGACTTCTTATTAGTCCTACTTTACCAGTCAGAAGACTGAAACTCAGAGGTCAAGGTACTTAACTAAAGATACACAGCAAGGAATAAAACAGTTGTACTTTAGTTCTCTTGAATGCTAAGGGGAGGCAGTGTGGAAAGAAGTAGAAAATGTCATTCTGGCACATCCTCGAAAATGTACTATCTTCACTACCTGGCCGGTTTGGCTCAGCAGTTAGAGCGTCAGCCCGTGGACCAGAGTCTCGGGTTTGATTCCTGTCAAGGGCATGTACCTCAGTTGCAGTTTGATCCCTGGCCCTGGTTGGGGTTAAACCAATTGATATGCCTCTCTCACATCGATGTTTCTCCCTCCCTTCCTCTTTCCCTCCTACTCTATCTGAAAATCAATGGAAGAGTGTCCTCGAGTGAGGATTAAAAAATAATAATAATAGAAAATGTACCATCTTCTTAAGGACAAAGAAAAACCCAAGTACTTGAAATAATGAACAGTGTGGTTAGGGCTTGGTGATGTGTGGGAGCCCCAGGGGATGCTGGGGACTGGTGACATGCACTGACCCTGACAGTGGGCGGACCTCGACCAGCATTCCAGCGAATGGCCAGAAGTCAGAGGAGGACTGAGCTTGGCACATTTAATGCTGGGCTGTTCTGGTGCTCTCACCCTGTGCTTTCTGATGTGTCTGCCGCCTGACCCAGAGGGAGCAGAGAGAAAGGCACCATAGGAAGGTGCCCAAATCATCAATGTTTAGGTAATGCATCTCTCAAGGTGAACACACAGAACCAGCACCTAGATCAAGACATAGGGTAGAACCAGTGCTCGGATGGCTCCCCAGGGCCACCTTCCAGTCCTGCTCTCTGGACGTCATATCCTTGGTGGCTGAGATCCAGAGGGGCATATGCAGAAAGACTTGGGAAGTTCTGGCTCGCTGGGCAGATGACTTTCACAGGTCACGACCCCTTCCCCGTCTGCACAGGGGGGATTTGCTTGTGGGAGCTTCAGCGATCTTGGTGGACAGGATCAGGATGGGCACAGAAGTGTTCACAAAGCAGAGAAGGGCTCCGAGAAGGAAAGGGAGGGTGTGCTTACAGGCGAGAAGCAGACCCATTTTACAGATGCTGTCCCTGCAACTCAGAGAGGAAACGGAGGGCCAGGCTTCAACTGTGGATTTTCTGGCTGCCCTGCCCCTGCTCCTACCCCTCAGCAAGGTGGATGAAGGTGCCAGGCCCGTACTGTGAGCAGAACGGTTGGCCTGACAGCACTCAGGTGCCCACAGGGTGGCACGCGCATACTTTTATGCCACACAGCCCCCTCAGCACCACCTCTCCTTCACAGTGGAAGAAGCATTGGTTTGTGCTGACTGATTCAAGCCTCAAGTACTACAGGGACTCTACTGCTGAGGAGGTGAGACAATGAGGTGGGAGGCTCCCTCCTTCTGTCAGGTGCTGGGGGACCTCTGGAAGGGTGTTGGGGAGTTTGGGGGGTCACTGGAGCAGGTGACCATGGCGGCCTTCCTGCTGCAGGCAGATGAGCTGGATGGCGAGATTGACCTGCGCTCCTGCACCGATGTCACTGAGTACGCAGTGCAGCGCAACTACGGCTTCCAGATTCACGTGAGGCTGCGCGTGGCAGGGAGGGTGTGGCTGCAGGGCCCCGAGGGGGTGCTGGCACAGAGCGTGACTTTCCATCAGAGGCTGGCTTCTGTCCCTCACTACCCAGAGACCTGTCCTCAGAGCCAGTCAGAAGCTCTGCTGCCAACATAGCATATCTGGGGAGACCCCAGGTATCTGGCAGGGGTGGTTCAAATGTTGGGGAGACCTGGGAGCCAGTGGAGCTCTTCCAAGTCTAGGCTGGTGGAGTGGAGGTATTACACCCTCTGCTCAACTCCAGGCTCAAGACCTTAGACACTCTCTTGGGAGGGAAGGGACCTCCCTGGGGTCCATAGTGCGGCAGGAGCAGTGGCGCTGGCCACATGGCAACCTACCTCTGGGGTGGACTTGCAGACCAAGGATGCTGTCTATACCTTGTCGGCCATGACCTCTGGCATCCGGAGGAACTGGATCGAGGCTCTGAGGAAGACTGTGCGTCCCACCTCAGCCCCAGATGTCACCAAGTACGTGCTGGGTTGGACCAGGGCTTTGGGGAGGTGCTTGCCCTGCATCCCTGAGTGCTGTTCTGGCACTCACCTGGGGGCCCGCTGGCTACACCTTCTGGGCCTCAGTTTCTGTCAACAAAATGAGAAGGCAGTGAGCATTCTTGGTAATCCTCCAGAAGTGCACTGAGGATTTGGGGTTTGACTCCATTCCTGTATGTCCCTGACATCCTGAATGGCTGGGGAGAGGCCTCAGCTCTTTGGAGAAGCCAGTGAGTCAAAGGTCCTTGCTAGGTGACCGATTGTCTGTGCTGTAGGGGCTGTGTCTCATCCTGTGTTAGGGAGAGGGGGTGGCTTGGCAGTCTGAGTGGGGAGCTCACCCCCTGTGGAGGTCACCGTGGGTAGAGTGGTGGGGAGGGCTCACTGACCTGCTGGTAGAGCCCACACACAGTATAAACCCCAGACGCCATGGGGGCTGGGACTTGCGGCTGCTGGGTATCAGGGGTGGAAAAGTGCTCTTAAGGGCTGTCAAGCACGAGCGCCCCTGTCTGGCCACAGCCTGGCTGTTCAACCAGAGGCCAGTTGCCTTGTTGTCTGCTTCATCTGTCAGACTGAGTATCATGAGAATGTGCACAGAAGTCCTTTGTGAACTGGAGCACAGTGCAGCCAGACTATTACTTAGTATATAGATTTGGCTGCTGTAACAAAGAAGCCTCAAGCATGGTGACTCTGAGTAGGAGAGGTTGTTTCTCCAGAAATAAGTTTGTCTCTGTCTCAGGAAGCTGCTTACTTTCCCCTGGAGTCCCAGACAGGTGCCAGGCCAGGGCATACCCAGTCTTTTAAAGGGTGCCACCTCTCACCTCCACTGCGCAGAATATAGGCACATGGCCACACATAGCTGCAAGGGATGCTGGGAAGTGTAGTTTGGGCCTGGCGACCATATACCTTGCTATCATAGAAGAGAAGCACTGCCACAGTTGTTACGTCTCCACAGTTTGTGCCCTATGCACCCAAGGTCACTGTGAGCCTCTTGAACCCAGGATCTTGTCTCAAACTATATATTTTTTTATCCTCACCCGAGGACATTTTTGCATTTATCTTCAGATCGGGGACAAACTGCAACCGAGGTACGTGCCCTTAGCGGGAACTGAACCCGCGCCTCTCCGGTCCATGGGCCGACGCTCTAACCACTGAGCCAAACCAGCCAGGGCTCAACCATACTTTTAATAATAATGCTTTGATCAACATTCATAACGGGCTTCCTGGTTGCTTTACATACATTCGCCCTAGTCCTCATGTTCATCCTGTGAGAAGCATTGTTGTCCCATATTATAGATGAGTGACTGAGGCTCAGAGGGAAGCCAGATATCCTGGTCTCTCTGCCGTAAGTGGTGGAGTTGGGATGGCTCCCAGGGAATGTTAATGAATTTCTGACCTCTGGGTTGGGCTGCTTTCTCTACTGGGGTTCATCCCCAGGCCCTGGCACAGGGCGACACTCCAAAAGTGCTTATTTTGGGACTGAGCAGGCAAGATCCTGCCTGACGTGGCCCTGCTGGCTCCCCAGGCTCTCGGACTGCAATAAGGAGAACACGCTGCACAGCTACAGCACCCAGAAGAGCTCCCTGAAGGTGGGGGAGCAGCGTGTGGGCTCTGAGGTCATCGGCCGGAGCGGCTCCCGGAAGGCAGATGGACAGCGGCCATCCCTGGACTACGTGGAGCTCTCCCCACTGACTCAGGGCTCCCCGCAGCGGGCCCGCACCCCGGCTCGCACGCTTGACCGCCCAGCCAAGCAGGAGGAGCTGGAACGGGACCTGGCCCAGCGCTCTGAGGAGCGACGCAAATGGTTCGAGGCCGTGGACATCAGGGCTGCAGAGACACCAGCCAGCGACGGGCCACGCCGGGGCCTGGGCGCCCCCCTGACTGAGGACCAGCAGAGTCGGCTCAGCGAGGAGATCGAGAAGAAGTGGCAGGAGCTGGAGAAGCTGCCCTTGCGGGAGAACAAGCGGGTGCCTCTCACTGCCCTGCTTAACCAAAGCCGCGGGGAGCGCCGAGGGCCCCCGAGTGACAGCCCTGAGGCACTGGAGAAGGAGGTAGACCTCATGGCTGGCCTCTGGGAGCCCCCTCACTCCTCCAGCACCCCTCCTGTCCCTACAGTCACACTGGCATTTATCATGCGTACATACCTACAGCGATGGGGAGCTCACCCCCGATCCAGTGTCTGACACTTCAGACTCCTTGTGCACTGGAATCTTCCTTTCTAGACCTTGGGGGTTTTTTGTTTTTGTTTTTGATACTTTTTTTCTTTTAGTTCTACCCTCAGCAACTGCAGAGAAGGGAAGAGGGAAGGGAAAGGAGAGACCATTTATTGAGCATCTTTTCCTGGGCCCTTTTCACCTGCAGAGGCTCATGTGTGTTCACAGCAGTCTCGTAGTCCCATAGGGTAGATTCATCACAGTTGTACTGATGGGAAGCTGGGCTCAAAGATGTTTCCCCTGCCACCTACATTGTGTATATAGTTGTGACCACAGTGTTCTGTTCCCAACCCCATCTAGTCTTCTCTGGACCACTGCTCTTCTGGCTCATTGGCCCTGCCATCCAGGAAACAGCTAGAATGTCCCCCTTGCCTACACATTCCCACCAGAGCCACACCTCAAACCTGAAGCTCCTCACTGCGCCCTCTCCTGAAGGCAGGCCCCCACTGACCTCATCTCCTCCCTCCACAGGTTCTGTCTCTCCGTGCCCAGTTGGAGGCATGGCGTCTCCAAAGGGAGGCTCCTCAGGGTGCACCCAGGTCCCAGGAAGATGGTCACATCCCCCCAGGCTACATCTCACAGGTGAGGCTGAAGAGCTGTTTTGTGGGGGATGGGGGCAAGTTTCTGGTTGCCATGTTTTCAGAAAACAACTAATATTTTGGAAGCCCTTCCTGTATACCAGAACCATGGGAGGCACTGGGCATGTGTTGTCTCATTTACTCTCTCCAGTGGGTGGACATGAGCACTGTGCTCGTTTTATAGGCCACTGAGTTGTGAGAGGTTATGTGACTTGCCCAAGGTCATCTGGCCTGCTGATGTCAGAGGCGGGATTTAAGCTTGGGTCCGGCTGACTGCCTTCATGTGACCTTCTGCACTTGGACCACTTTCCCCACATCACCCTGGGGAAGTGGGGGGCCAGTGGGGAGTGGGAGCCCCAGTGAGAAGGTCCCTGGGAGGTGCTCCCTAAACAGGGAAATCCTGTCCATGACTGCTGGGCCAAGGCCCTCACAAGATGGCCTTAGGGACTGGGGAGCCTCCAATGGCCCTCAGGGGGACACACGGTCTGCCGAAGACAGCAGTTCTCAACTGAGGCTGAGTTTGTTCCCCTGGGGACATTTGGCTATGTCTGGAGAAACTTGATTGTCACCATGGGGACAGCTAGCTCTCCAGAGAAAGATACATGCATGTGAATACATACATACTTATATATGTTACGTGTATGTATATATATATATATTTTACTGATACAAAGGATGTTTAGTGCACAACTTACAAGTAAAAAATATATAATACTTTTTATTGTAACTTCCATATAGCAAGCTGATTTTTCTCAGAACACTTTCATTGGTTTTTCCGAATCCTTCTATCCACAGCTAACTGTCAAATAAGTGTCATTCTAACATAAATGTTGGTTGCCATTTTTATTTATGTTAATGAGTAAGACGAGAAACATGTTGAAAGTTTCCTTGGTCAATGTCCTGAGTAAGTTTTTGGTTGAATTGGATAGTAGTTCTCTATTGAGACTATTTTTATGAGTGTTCCCTTAGGATTTTTTTTCTGTTACAATGTGATGGTCGTAGGTACATGGCACACTTTTGGTCTGATCTGCATTATTGGCATTGTCTTGTCACTTGCTTAAGTCTAGACTCAGCAGAACAATAAACTGAGTCCTGATTTGTAGTGGTCACCGATGTCCATGGTGTAAGTACCCCACTGTGGCTGAAGGGCCTGAACACGGACTGGGAAGACATGTGCACACCACTGTAGAGCATGTCCACCGTGTAGCACAGAAGAGAAGTGACCTTGAGAGCGTAGATAATAATAAAATGCAGTGAAATAATTAAGTGATGGATTTTGAATATCAGCTTTGTTTTTAATGTAATTAATTATAAGTTTATATAATCTTTAATAATGGCAATGTTTTACAACTGTGTCACAAAACTCCTAGAAAACTGATAATCAGCTCCCTCTAGTCACACACCATTGCCTGAAGCAGGAAGGAATGCTGGATCCCAGGCTCTGAGCAGAGGGGCCTTCTAGAAGTTCCAAGGCAGGTGGTTGCCCTGTGGGACTCTCAGGAAGCCGTCCCGGGGTGCTGGCACGGAACTGAGCAGTGGGGTGGGGGCGGGGGCTGTGATGGAAGTCTGGTGGGTGCCCGTCCTGGAGACCTTCACTGCCAAGCCAGGGAGATGGGAGCTTGTCACACACACCTGAGGAGGTTTGCTTTCTGACAGTGACATTGGGAAGGTGGTGGTGGAGTGGAGGGGCTGGGAGGGGCCAAGGCCAGTGTCAGGAGCTAGGCTGGTGACTGGGAGAGTGGGATACAGGAGGGGACAGGGAGGGAGGAGAGTTTGGAAGTGAGTGACTGGGGCCGAGTGGTTCAGCTGAAGGAAGACCAGGGCCTAGGGGAGTTGGGGTCTCACATGCTTGGGGGTCACCCAAGGGGAAGGGGGAGAGGGTAGGGACCGGTGTTGTCAAAGGCTCCCTTGAGGCCAGAAGAAGGAGTGGGCGGGGCATCTCCAGGCAGGGTGGGGCCCGACACCACAGCCTGAGACTGCTGGAGTCGCCTCAGAGACCCCCACCCAGAGGCTTCAGGCTGTCTGTGGAGCCCTTCGTCCCCCAGGGGCTGCTCTGGGTGGGTCCTCCACATCCACCGTTTTACTATTAGAACCTGCATTAGATCTCCTTCGGGAAAAGGTTTCTGTCGCTAAAGTGGAGTTTGAAAAACACGTCTCTGACTTCTCAGCTTACAGGTGAGGCCCAGAGAGGAGGCGAGACCTTGAGCTGGAGGCAGACCTGTACTGCGACCCAGGCCTCCTGGGCTGCCAGCATTTTGTCTTGCCGGGTCAGGATGGATAGGGAGCAGGCGGAATTGAGGGGTTGAGAGGGAGTAAAGGGAGTGGAGAGGAGACGGGAGTGGAGTGGCTCAGGACGCGGAGGCGCCAGAGAAGAGGAGCTGAGTGTCTGTCCCCTCGGGCACTGGAGCAAGCGGCTGGAGACCCTGCAGAGGCGACAACTGGGGAGGGTCCTCCAACCTGGCATCTCAGGCTGAATGGGTGCCCCTCTTTTGGCTGGTGCGGCTTGCCACTGCAGGACAGCAGCTGGGGATCTGGGACTTCACTGGGGCAGGAATGCCTCTCTAGAAAGGGGACCCTTCTACCCTGTTGCAGTGGGGGCCACGGGCACTTCTTCACCCACTTTGGTCCGCGTCAGAGGTGGCAGCTGACACCTTGGGCCCCCAGGAAGGTAGGTCAGAGAGCAGCATCTGACCTGGGAGCCCCCCTCATGGGCTGGTCCCCACCCCTGACATCAGCTTCTTCACCCCCATTAGCTACTGGCTCTGCCCGCCTGGCCTGCCTCTTTAAGAACAGGTCGCCACCCCTCTCATTTCTCTGATCTCTGCCGGTGGGTGATCAGGTGGACACTAGCTTACCTTAGGGACCCTGAGGAGGGTTTTATGTTTGTTTGTTTTTTAAATCCTCACCCAAGGATATTTTTCCATTTATCTTCAGATAGAGTGGGAAGGGGAGAGAGAAACATCAGTGTAAGAGGGACACATCGATTGGTTGCCTCCTGTACAACCCCAACGAGGGCCGTGGACATAACCACAACTGAGGCACGTGCCCCTTACCAGACCTGAACTGGGACTCTGGTCCGAGGGCCAACGTTTTAACCGCTGAGCCAGACTGGCCAGGGCTCAGGAGTTGGTTTATGAGGCCTGTTTTACAGATGAGTCTGAGACTCACACTGGGGAAGGGGCTTGTTCAAGTTCATTCCATAGTACAGCCAGGATTAGGACTCCAAAGCAGTGTTCTATTGTCCTTACTCGGGGTCACACAGAGGACAAGTGCAGAATCCCCGAGGGACAGACACCCTTGCTCATTACCTAGAACACCTGGACCCAAGTGGCCTGGCCCTTGCCTTTCCCCCAAGTGGACTGAGGTGTGGCTGCTGGAGCAGTGGGGTCTCCCCACCACTTGCCGTGCCCTGTGCCATGGGCAGAATACAGTGATCTGGCCCACTGCCTTGGTTCTTCCTGGCTCTTCCCCTTCCCTTCTTAATGATCTTAAATAGCTTTTTAAAATCCTCACCTGAGGATTTTTTCTATTGATTTTAGAGAGAGAGAAATAAAACATCAACGTGAAAGAAACATCAATCAGTTGCTTCTTGTATGCACCCTGGCCAGGAATTGAACCCACAATCTAGATATGTGCCCTGACTGGGAATTGAATCCACAACCTTTCATTGCATGAGACGATGCTCAACCAACTGAGCCACCTGGCCAGAGCCTTAAATATTTTTTAATTATATAAGAAATAGCTTTACATTTTCATAAATAATTCAAACAAATTAAAAGGTGAGAAATAAAGGCATGAACTCTCCTTCCCGCCCCCCCAGGGGTCCCCCGGAGTACCGTCAGCACGGCTGTGGAGTCGTCTGTTGATCGGCTCGCGGTGTGGGGGGCAGAAGTCTGAAACCCAGGCTGCGGCCCGGCTGCGTTTCTCTGTAGGCTCTGGGTAGGATCCGGTTTCCGGCCTTTTCCAGCATCTGGTGGCTGCCCCCCTTCTGTGGCTCATGGTCCCTTTTTTCAGCTTCAAAGTGAGCAAAAGAGTCAAGTCCTTCTCACTTCACGTCACTCTGACCGCCTTCCTCGGTCACTTCTCCCTCTACCCGCCTGCATCTGCGGACCGGACCGCGGTCACACTGGGCCAGCGCGTGGTCAACGATAGGCTCCCTCTTTACGGTCATCTGATCAGTAGGCTGGGCTCCCTCTGCTGCTGCGTCAGGTGGCGTTCCCAGGTTCTGGGGAGTAGGATGTGGACGTCTTTGGGGCTAGTATTCTGCCTCCCAGGAGCCTTCCCTACCTTTGTGTTTGCACACATGTCCCTGGACATCCATGTGTTTGTTTCCATGAGCAGGGTCGCCCATGTGTGTTGTCAGAAACCACCTTTCATCACCTAACTTCCCACATTCCCCCCAGCTGGCCATGTGGGCAGCTCTGTCTTTTTTTTTTTTCTTTTTAAGAATTTTTATTGATTTTTAGAGAGGAAGGGAGATCGAAAGATAAAGAAACATCCATTGGCTGCTTCCTGTACACCCCCTACCGGGGATTGAACCCGAAGCCCAGGCTTGAACCCTGACTGGGAATCAAACCAGCAGCCCTTCCGTGCACAGGACGATGCCCAGCCAACCGAGCCACACTGGCCGGGGCTGCAGCGCTGGGTCCTTTGTAAGGCTCGGTCTCATGATTTATTTAAGGTTGTTTATTTAGATTGTTTCCAGTTCTTGTCTGTGCCGGGGTTGCCATAGAGAATACCTTTCTCCAAGAGTCCTTGTACACATGTGACTTTCTGTGGGGTCATTCCTACAAGGGACCTGCGGAGTCAAGGGATGGGGTCATTAAAAATGCATCAGTGTGCCCTGGCCAGTTTGGCTCAGCGGTTAGGATGTTGGGCTGCGGACCAAAGAGTCTCGGGGTCAGTTCTGGCCAAAGGGTACGTGATTCAGTTGCGGTGCATTCCCGGCCCTGGTCAGGGTTGTACAGGAGGCAACCAGTTGATGTGTCCCTCTTACATTGATGTTTCTCTCTCTCTCTCTCTCCGTTTCCCTCTCCCTCCCTCCCTCCCTCCCACTCTGTCTGAGATAAATGGAAAAATATCCTCGGGTGAGGATTTAAAAAAAAAAAGTGTCAGTGCTATCAAACTGCCTCCACGTACTCGGTCTCAGCGACTCTCCCAGCAGTGGGTATTACCAGTCTTTTAAACACTGGCCAGTCTGGCCCACGAGCCCCGTTCTGTGATGTTATCAATCTCAGCTTCCTTACCCAGCACCTCCCACATGTCAGGCCCTGGCCTGGACTCTGGGGACTCTGAGCTGATCACATCTCCCTTGGCTTTGGGGAACTTATGGTCTGGCAGAAGCAAGGCCTTTGGTGGCAGAGGAGAGGCTGTCCAGAGACGGCTAGGAGGACATTTAAGCTGTGCTGCTGGTGAAGTGAATTACCCAGGAAGAAAAGATGCAAAAGAATGTTCCAGGCAGTGGAAATAGCATGAGCTAAAGCTCAGGTGTGCACACACTGGGAATTGTTTTTAAACTATGAGGTGTTTTTTTTTTTTTTGGTGAGGAAGGGCCAGGGATGAGGCTACAAGGGTCAGACATGGGAGCAGGGACTTGACCCTGCAGGACGGGGCCTCAGAAGGGTCTGAAGCAGAACAGTGTCAGGGCAAGGCTGTTAGATGGAGGAGGGGAGGGGCACGTGGGCCGGGGCAGCCTGGGCCAGAGCAGGCCTGCCCCTGAGGCTTCGCATCTCAGGCTGGAGAAGGGAAAGGAAAAGGCACTGTCCGGGCAGTGGGGGCAGCCCCGTGACGCCTGGCCCCCGCCCACAGGAGGCATGGGAGCGCAGCCTGGCAGAGATGGAGTCCTCGCACCAGCAGGTGATGGAGGAGCTGCAGCGGCACCACGAGCGGGAGCTGCAGAGGCTGCAGCAGGAGAAGGAGTGGCTCCTGGCCGAGGAGACCGCCGCCACGGCCTCAGGTGCGGCCCCTGGGCAGGGTGGGGCCCACACGCTTCTAAACCGAGGCTCCTCCTCACTGGATTGGGGCCGCTTTTAAGTAAGAGGCTGGTTCTCGGTGCCAGACTTGGGATAAGGGATCAGAAGGGGTTGAAGCCCCCGGAACTGGCCTCTACTTGAAAAGGGGAAAGTGAGGCCATAAGAACACACCCCATTGGTTGTGAGTGCGCTCCCTCGGGGCATGTGGCCGCCAGAGCTCCACCTTTGTACACCCTGAGCTCCAGCCCTATGCCCAGGCCGTGCCACCTGCTGGGAGAGACTCGGCCTCAGACCCAGCTCTCATAGCGGGGCGTCTCACTGGGCATACAGGCCGGCCCCGGGAGAGCAGGGAGGGGAGTCAGCACTTACAGCCCGTCCCCCAGTCCTAGTCCTTCCAGTGCCTATGGGAGTGACCCATCTCACAGATGAGGAAACGGGCTCCGAGAGGTTAGTGATTCGTCCCAGAGGGCACAGCTTAGGTGGCAGAAGCCAGAGTTGGAGTCCAGAGCACGCTGACTGCAAAGCCACGCTCTGAGCCCACCCTCTGCCCTCCCACGCCAGACGCAGGAATGCTTGACCAAAGTGTTGGGCAACTTCCTCCCCCTCTCTGGCAACTGCACACCTGCTCTGTGTGCCTGGCACACCCCATGTACCTCCAGAGGGCTGTTGAATAATGGAAATGATGAGAGAGATCACATGATCTAGAACTTACCACCTGCTCGGTGCTTCACACACTCAAGCCCATGGTGCCTCATCCCAGACCCTGGGGATGGTACATTTGCATTTTAGGAAGATAACCCAGTGCGTATATTGGGGATCCCTCCATCCCAGCAGGATCTTGGCTTCACCCTGAAATCTAGCACTATGGGTTTTGCAGTGAGATTTCTCAAGGTCACCCTTAAGTGGGATAATAATGACCTCAGCCTCATGTCCGTTCAGGTCAGGGGTGTCACCAAGAGAGATGTGAAAAACTTCCAGTGTTCAGAGCTTTGGGATTTGGGAATTACGAATAAGACTATGGATGAGGACTTGTTTAATCCTCACAGCAACCCTGCGTGAATGAGAAAAGACTCGGTCCTGGGAGCTCAGTCTGAAACACACAGAAGCTTGTGTCTGTGCTGTGCATTGTTCTGAGAGCTCTACACACATCTCCCATAGCTCCCAGATGAGGGGCCTGCGGCACAGGGGGTTAAGTCCCCTGAGCAAAGTCACCTAGACTTGTATTGACTGTTAAGCCGGGCAAGGCAGATGGGTGTTGTTAAAGGACCCTCCAGGCTGTGTAGGGACAGTGGACTGTGGGGCCCTACCCAGCCATCCTAACAAGAGGGACCAGTGGTCAGACACTGAAGTGTCTCCCCAGCAGGGTCCATCAGACAGGGCTGGTTATCTTTTCCTGCTAGACAGGCTCAGAAAGGTTAAGCAACTTACCCAGGGCCACTCAGTTCATGACAGCCTGCTCTTTGCATGGCACTGCCTGCTCCTGTCTCCACGGTCCATGTGGAGTTGCGGGGGAGGTGGAGTTTGCTCTGACCCCTCCCCAATCTCCCCATCCCGTCTCTGCCCTGCTTCCAGCCATCGAAGCCATGAAGAAAGCCTACCAGGAGGAGCTGAGCCGAGAGCTGAGCAAGACACGGAGTCTCCAGCAGGGCCCAGATGGCCTCCGGAAGCAGCACCAGTAAGAAGGCCCTTGGGCCTGGGGTCTGTGGGCTGGGCCTCCCTCTGAGCCAGGGACCCAGCTGCCTACACAGTGGTTCTGAGTGAGGGACCTGTGCTGACGCCCCTTGGCAAAGGACATTTCAGTTTGCCCCCAGCTGAGACTCCCACTGTCATCCCTGTGGCACAGGGAACAGAAGCCACAGGGCCTTGGTCAGACCTGCATGCCGTCCACGTAGACAGTTTCTCGGGCCCTTCTTATCTCGCTGGTCTTGGCCTCCACACTCCTTCCCCTCATTAGTGTCCCCTAGGGTGGGGCTGCAGTGTCACCCTCGGCCAGGTGCTCTCCCTCCTGCCACAGCACAGCTCTGGATGTTGGGGCTGCAGAGGCTTTAGACAAGGGGGCACCTGGGGCCATGAGAGGCTGTCACAGTCCACAGCCCGTCGCTGGCTCAGAGCAGAACTAGGGTGCGAACTCGGGAGCCCCTAGCTGCCTGGAGCTTGCCGTGGCCGGCTCTGAGCTTGGCGGAGGGCCGGCGAGCCCCGGTTATCCTTCCCCTCCGCCCGCAGGTCAGACGTGGAGGCGCTGAAGCGGGAGCTGCAGGTGCTATCGGAGCAGTACTCCCAGAAGTGCCTGGAGATCGGCGCCCTGACGCGGCAGGCGGAGGAGCGCGAGCACACGCTGCGCTGCTGCCAGCAGGAGGGCCAGGAGCTGCTGCGCCACAACCAGGTGGGCCTGGCCGGCGGCCGTGGGGGCGTGGGCACCGCGTGGCCCTGCGCTGACCACCCCACATCCCCAGGAGCTGCATGCCCGCCTGTCTGAGGAGATCGACCGGCTGCGCGGCTTCATCGCCTCACAGGGCACTGGCAGCGGCTGTGGGCGCAGCGAGCGGAGCTCCTGTGAGCTGGAGGTAAGTGCCCACTGGCACAGCAGGCAGCCCAGCTGGTCCCCGGGGCCTGGGCATGGGGAGGGAGCTGAGGGGCTGGCCCAGCACCGCCTGGAGGGACATCCGCTCTGTGCCCGGCACTACTCAGCCAGGGTCCAGCCCTCCTGTCCCGGTCCTGCCACCTACCTGCTGTGTGACAGGGCTGTTGCCTCGCCCTTCCAAGCCCCAGTAGTCCATCTGTAAAACGGGGCTAGCACCTTTCTTTTTCTTTTTTCTTCCCAATCCTCACTAGAGGATATGTTCATTGATTTATTTAGCGAGAGAGAGAAACATCGATCAGTTGCCTCCCACATGTGCCCCAACAGGGGAACGAACCTGCAACCTAGGTATGTGCCAGGAATCGAACCCGCGGCCTTCCTGGTGTACAGGATGATGCTCCAACCTACTGAGCCACTGGCTGGGCCACTAGCAGCTTTCTCACGGGGAGGAGTTGCTGTGAGAAAATGGGGCGTGGCCCCAGGATCACCCTGGTATTTTATTTTACAAATATTTCTATACGACTGTGCCTGGAACTTCTGGAAGCTGAAGTTCTTTTTTTCCCATCCTCACCTGAGGACATTTTTTCTGTTTATCTTCAGATAGAGTGGGAAGGAAGGAGGGAGGGAGAGAGAAACATCTACGTGAGAGGGACACATTGACTGGTTGCCTCCTGCACGACCCCATTCGGGGTTGGGACAAACCGCAACCGAGGTGCGTGCCCTTGGCCGGAATTGAACGCGCGCAACTCATTGGTCCACGGGCTGACGCTCTAACTGCTGAGCCAAACTGGCCAAGGCAAGGAATCTGAAGTTCTTAACTCACTGAGTCTTCCTGACAGTCCTGTGAGGTACATGCTGCTACTATCCCCATTTTACAGATAAGGAGGTAGACACAGGAGGGTCAAGTACCTTGCCCAAGGTCACACAGCTAGTTGGTGTGGGAGCTGGGATTTCAACCCAGCAGTCTGGGTCCAGAGTCTAAGCTGAGACTGTCTCCTCCTTGTTCAAGTCAGGATAGCAACACCTGCCCTCGGGGTTGGGAGAGGGGCCCACGAGGTGGTCCGCAGGGAGTCCAGCCTCTCCAGGGAGGGCCACACTGTGGCTTCCTTCTGTCTCCTGCGCCCTCAGAGTTGAGGGCCCGGTGCTATGGTGCGGACATGTGAGAGGGCTTTGTGGAGGAGTGTGCCCCTGGGTGTAGTGGGCTTAGCGCAGCTTGGGAGCTGCATTCCGGGGCCTGAGCAGAGAGGAGGCAGGCTGCAGTACACCCGGGCCAGGTCATCCTGGCCGCTGGCCCTGGCTTAGCCTGGCACCTGTGACCCCAGGTGCTGCTGCGGGTGAAGGAGAACGAACTTCAGTACCTGAAGAAGGAGGTGCAGTGCCTCCGGGACGAGCTCCAGACGATGCAGAAGGTAGGTCCTGGCTGGCCGAGGCAGGTGTCAGCGGGCGGGGACCCTCTGGATCCATCTGGATGCCCCGTCCTGTGAGCACCTGCTCTGTGCCAGGCACTCCTCGTGCCTGTCCCGCCGAGGAGGCATTGTCTCCACTTACAAGCAAACAGGCTAAGAAAGTGTAGGTGACTTGCCCAAGGTCCCACTTGGTTTTATTTAGGAAATATTTCTTGAAAACCTGCTGTGTGCCAGACCCCATGCTAGGCGCTGGGGAAACATCTGATCAAAAAAGGCCCGACTCCCTGCCCGTGCAGCACATGCACTGCAGTGAGGAGCGAGCCGTGCGGCCAGCGCTGGGGGCTGGGAGTCCGTGTCCCCGTGTCTTTGACATCCTCTGTGTGTGGGTGGCTCTGGGAGTGTGTGTGAGTCAGCCTCATGGAATGGGCCCCAGCACTGGGCCAGGCTGACCTGGCTCTCACCCGGCCGCTGATTGCCATGTGCTGTTGGGCAGAAGCTTCACCCCATGAACCTCAGCTCATCTCGAGCAGGATGCAAATGATGTTGAAACCTGTGTCCCCGGGTGGAGCTGGAGGGGTTTGTCCAGGACTGGGGACCGCCAGGGGCCCCGGAGGGACAAGGCCTTGGAGGAGCCTGGCTGCTTTGCGCTGGCCAGCAACGAGCATGGTGGGCATGTGCGAGGTGGGCAGGGCCAGGTAGGGAGGGCTTTGTGCCCTCATAGCCCCGCCTGCCCCCAGGACAAGCGCTTCACCTCAGGAAAGTACCAAGACGTGTACGTGGAGCTGAACCACATCAAGACGCGATCGGAGCGGGAGATCGAGCAGCTGAAGGAGCACCTGCGCCTCGCCATGGCTGCGCTGCAGGAGAAGGAGGCGCTGCGCAACAGTGTGGCCGAGTGAGGTGCGCGAGGGCGAGTGAGGTGTGCGCGCTCGGGCGGGCGGGAGGTCGGGGTGTGCACTGGGCAGGCGGGCGGGCAGCCCGGGGTGTGCATGGGTAAGAGGGAGGCCACGGTGCGCACTGGGTGGGAGGGCGGGCGGGAGGCTGGGGATGTGCACTGGGTGGGCGGACAGGCAGGAGGCCCGAGGTGTGCACCGGCAGGAGGGAGGCCCCGGTGCGCACTGGGCGGGTGGGCGGGCAGGAGGCCCGGGGTGCGCACTGGGCAGGCGGGCAGGAGGCCCGGGATGCGCACTGGGCAGGCGGGCGGGAGGCCCGGGGTGTGCACCGGCAGGAGGGAGGCCCCGGTGCGCACCGGGCGGGTGGGCGGGCAGGAGGCCCGGGGTGCGCACTGGGCAGGCGGGCGGGAGGCCCGGGGTGCGCACTCGGGCCCATCCACATCCAGCTCGCTGTGCCACCGGCCCAGGGCACTTCCTTCTGCCCTCTGTTTCCATTTCTATGAATAGGGACAGGGACACTGTGGTGCTTCTTAGCACTGCCACAGCCACAGCCTGATGAGTCCGTCCCTCCTCTGGGTAATGGTGCCCCTGGCTGATCTGCTCCCTTGGGACCTGGCAGCAGGGCACATCACTGACCACTAACAGTGTTCCCTCCGCGGAGCTCCGCGCTCCCACGCTGAGAAGGAGCGGCCTCTTTGTGACAAGGCCTTGTGCACTTCTAGGGCGCTCAGGACAGGCCGCCCTGTGGGCCAGGCTGTTTGGGGAGAAGCCGGGAAGAGCAGATCTGGCCCAGCCTTTGGGGCCAAGAGGTAGTGGAAGGACCTTGCCTGGCCTAAGTCACGCTGGGGCCCAGGGCCAAGACTGGGGCCTCCCCAGCCCTCAGCAACCCCCACTGTTATCTTCCAGGTCCTGTGGTTCAGCCCAGCTGCAGACCCCCCAGCCCAAGGGGACCAGTTGCCCTTCTTTGCTGGATGGAAGTCAGAAGCCAAGCTTTCTCCCCACCCTCTGTGAGCCATACGTGTACTCACAACCATCACACACACATACAGGTGCACACACATACCACACGCATAGGCATACACACAGACACCACATAGGAACACACCACACACACATAGGTACACACACCACACATGCACAGACACACAGCACACATGCCACACGTGCACAGGCAATACACCACACATGCACACACAGACACACACAGGTACACACATACACAGGCACACATAGGCTCACACATGCACACATGCACACACAGACACTGCACAGGCGCACACTTGCACAGTCACACAGACGCAGACATGCACGGTCACACACACACACACACACACACAGGCGCACACACACTGCGTATCTGAGCGCGCCCCTCGCACTGGGTCTTACCTTGCACCTTCTTCAGGATTTTATATGTGAAGAGATTTTTATATATAGACTTTTTTCTTTTTTTTTTCCCCAACCACTTTGTACTTTTTAAAAAGCAATTCCTGGTGGCTGTGTGCCTCCAACATTGGCTTCCCTGCGTCTCCAGCCTCCTGCTTGGGCTTCTGGGCTCGTGGCCCTGCCCTGGGGTCTGGCAGCGGCCATGGCAGGGTTGACTCTGGTGGGAGAGGCAAGGAGCCAGCCACCCTCCTCCTACCCTACCTCCCACTAATTACTTCCTGCCCTGGGGGGCCCCACACCCTGGGACTCTGGACTGAGGGACAGATGGACAGAGGGAGGCGGCCTCTGTCTCCATGGCCCCACCTCCTCCTCTGGGGGGTGCGGGCTGGAACCGCTGCCGCTGCCCCTGAAGGGTTCTCTCCGTCAGCCTTGTTAACTTAATAAAATGTTTCTGCAGCTGGTGTCTTGCATGGCTGGGGCATGGCGGGTTATGGGGGTTGGGGTTTCTCAGCCCCCGGCCCCCAGCACTCCGCCCTTCCTGGAGGGTGGCATGTGGGCTCTGAGGGCGGAGCTGAGAATCTGGTTCCTCCACCAGGCGATGCTTGCGCCAGGAGTCTGCACTTGAACACAGCCCTGGGCAGCTGCGGCCCCACTGGCCGAGGCCCCCCGACTGACCTTGGGCAAGTCACGTCCCCTCTCTGAGCCTCTCCATCGAATGGGTTCCTTTTATCATCCGTCCTTACGGAGGCTGTGCCCAGAGGTCACGTGCAGCCCTGGGCGGGGCGGGCGGGGCAGTGGATGTGGGAGGCCTCGTCACGGAGGCTGGATGTGGAGGCTGGATGTGCTGATCGTGGCCGTGTGGGGTGGGGTGAGGCCCGTTTCCGAGTGGCCCTGGCCCAGGCTGGCTGTCTTTGCGGGGCTGTGGCTAAGATGACAGCATAAGGACAACTTGAGCCAGCCTCACCCTCACGGCTGTTCCCGTCCATCCTCGGGCGCCTCAGGCTGGGCACAGTCACAGAGGAACAGGAACTGGCCTGGCCCCTACCAAGGCCCCTGAGATAAGCCACAAAGGTTTGGGTCTCAGAAGGCTGTGGGAACCTAGACCAGCCTGCAGGTCAGAGAGGGCTCTTGGAGGTGGCTGGAAATGGACTTCCGGATGGAAAAGCCAGGAAGGGCACCCCAGGTGAGGGGACAGCAGGAGCAGAGGCCCTGTGAACACCCCCGGTGCGCGCAGGGGAGCAGCCCGTGGGGTGTGGGAACTGCACCTGACTGCTTGCAGTGATGGCCTTACAAGTGGGCATGGGGTGCGGCTCCAACCGCAGATGCCAGGGGAAGTCTTGGAGGTGGAGGGCCAGAGGGGGTCATCTGGGAGGTCTTCTTGTTCTTAAAAAGGGTCACAAAGCCCTGGTCAGTGTGACTCAGCGTCCTGTGCACTGAAGGGTCACAAGCTCAATTCCCAGTCAGGACACAAACCCAAGTCGCAAGTTCAATCCATGATAAGAGTGCAAACGGAAGGCAACCTATCGTTTCTCTTTAAAATCAGTAAAAAAAATATCCTCAGGTAAAGATTTAAAAAATAAAAAGGGTCGCCTGGTCAGTGTCGCTCACTGGTTGAGCGTCGACCCATGCACCAGGAGGTCACCAGTTTGACCCCCAGGCCGTGGGCCTGGTCCCTGGTGGGGGGCAAGCAGGAGGCAGCCAGTCGTTCTCTCATCAATGTTTCTAGCTCTCTCCCTTCTCTAAAATCAATTTAAAAATTTTTTCTTTAATCAAAATAAAAAAGGGTCACAAGGAAGGGAGGGTTCTCTCAGCCTTTGGACGGTGTTGGGTGAAGCCCCCAGGTTGCCACCATCTTGCCGCCTCAACATGTGAACCATGGCCAACCAGAAAGACCAGGACCCCTGAGCCCTTCCATCACCAGCCTTGAGAGCACCAGCCTGGGACTTCCTGCCCCAGGACTTCCTGCCTCGTGAGACGGGAGTGTCCTGGAGACGCCGAAGTCGGGGTGTCTGCCACTGGCAGCCTCAGCACCCAGACAGTTGAGTCCAGATCGCTGACCGTCCTCGCTGTGCGCCTCCCGCCGGCCCTGGACGACCCTCAGCTACGTGCTCTGCCTCCACGACTCCCTCAGGCGACGTCGGCTCCCATCTGCTCCGGTGCTGAGGCCTCACCCTCACCGGCTCTCCACCTCCTCAGGGCCCCCTGCACAAGCTAAAAAGTCAGGCCAACACGGAAAGGCGCCCCACTCTGAGCCCTGGCCGGCTTGGCTAGCGGTCAGAGCATTGGCCCGAGGACCAGAGGGTCACAGGTTCAATCTCCGGCCCTGGTTGGGGTCGTTTGGGAGGCAACCAATTGATGTGTCTCTCATATCGATGTTTCTCTCTCTCTGTCTCTGTCTTCCCTCCTTCTCTCTCTCAAAATCAGTGGAAAAATATCCTCGGATGAGGATTAACCAAAAGAAAGAGAGAGGGAGGGAGGAAGGAAAGAAAGAAAGAAAAAGTGCTCCCCCTTGAGATATCACTCCCCTCACTAGAAGAGCTCAAACTAAAGGACTGCCAGTCTCACGTGTGCCCGGATGTGGGGACCGGGACTCGCTGCTGGTGGCTCTTCACGCCACCACGTGGGCAACGGTTTGGCAGGTTCTTAGAAAGTGAAACATACATCTCCCCTATGACCTAGGTTTCCACCCCTGCACAGACTCCCAAGAACCCCCTATGACCTAGGTTTCCACCCCTGCACAGACTCCCAAGAACCCCCTATGACCCAGGTTTCCACCCCTGCACAGACTCCCAAGAACCCCCTATGACCCAGGTTTCCACCCCTGCACAGACTCCCAAGAACCCCTTATGACCTAGGTTTCCACCCCTGCACAGACTCCCAAGAACCCCCTATGACCCAGGTTTCCACCCCTGCACAGACTCCCAAGAACCCACTATGACCCAGGTTTCCACCCCTGCACAGACTCCCAAGAACCCCCTATGACCTAGGTTTCCACCCCTGCACAGACTCCCAAGAACCCCCTATGACCCAGGTTTGCACCCCTGCACAGACTTCCAAGAACCCCCTATGACCCAGGTTTCCACCCCTGCACAGACTCCCAAGAACCCCTTATGACCTAGGTTTCCACCCCTGCACAGACTCCCAAGAACCCCCTATGACCCAGGTTTCCACCCCTGCACAGACTCCCAAGAACCCCCTATGACCTAGGTTTCCACCCCTGCACAGACTCCCAAGAACCCCCTATGACCTAGGTTTCCACCCCTGCACAGACTCCCAAGAACCCCCTATGACCCAGGTTTCCACCCCTGCACAGACTCCCAAGAGCACAAGTGCTTACGGCCACCAAATGGCCGGAACGGTAATATCTGTAGCAGTCCCAATCGGAACATAGTACGCATGTCCATCAACAGTAGAATGAGTAAGTAAATGTTACGTTCATACATTAGAACACATGCTACATGGCAACGAAAACGAATTACTGCTACACGCAATGTCATGATGAATCTTCAGCATCGTGTTGAGAGAAAGAAGCCAGTCACCGAGGGCTCATGTGCAGTCCCACATAGGTGAAGGTCAAGGACAGAAAGAACCATCACTATGGTGATGCTCCGGTGCGTACCTCTGGGCTGGGGGGGACTCGCATGATGCAGTGAGCACAAGGGAGCTTTCTGAGTGCGAGAAATGTTGCACATCTTGATCTGGGTAGTGCTCACGTGGGTATGTACACATGTAAAAATGTACTATGCTGTACACTTAACGATTTGTGCATTTGACTGTGAATCATGTCTCAAAAAAAAAAAAGCTAGGGTTCCTGCAGGTGCCCAGGTGAGCCACCTGGGGAAAGCCCCAGTACCCTGTCACACGAAATTTGACCAAAACCACGTAGTATGGCTGCCAGGTGTCCTTGGGCAGCCAGGCATGTCCTGGGGAAAGAGCGTAGGCTGGCCCAGCTGGTGTGGCTCAGTGGTTGAGCATTGACCCACACACGAGGAGGTCGATTCCCGGTCAGGGCACATGCCCAGGTTGTGGGCCTGATCCCCAGGGGGGGGCATGCAGGTGGTGGCCAATCGATGTTCTCGCTCTTCGATGTTTCTATCTCTCCCTCTCCCTTCTCTCTAAAATCAATAAAGAAAAAAAAGGAGCCCTGGCTGGTTTGGCTCAGCGGTTAGAGCGTCAGCCTGGGGTTCCCGCTAAGGGCACGTACCTCGGTTACAGTTTGTCCCTGGCTCTGGTTGGTCATGCGGGTGACAGCCACTCGATGTATCTCTTTCACGTCGATGTTTTTTTTTCTCTCTCTCCCTCCCTCACACTCTATCTGAGCAAAAGATGGAAGAATGTCCTTGGGTGAGGATAAAAAAATTTAAAAAAAAGAGCGTAGGCTGGGGTATCACAAAAACCTGCCTGGGTTCAAAACCCAACCGCTGCCTCCAGCTGGCTACATGACCTCACTGAGTTGCATCTCTCTGGGCTTTATTTCCTCATCTGTTAAATGGGGCCACAATGTCTCCCACCAAGGGCTGTTTAGGTATTCAGTGATCAACTCTTTCACCATCTATTGCTGTGTAACCACCACGAACATAACGCTTTAGAACAACAGTCTTTTATTCTCACACATGGTCCTGTGACTGGGCTGACGAGCAATTTCCTCGATGTGTCTTTTGCAGCTGCTGTTTGTTACGTGGGGGCCGGGCTGGAGTCACCTGAAGGCT